TCTTGATTCTTTCAAAATATAGACGGGTTCGTTTGGACGGGTTCCTTCCACTCTGTCTCCCCTTGTCCCCCTTGTCTCCCTTCATATGTGACCCAACACGGTTCGGTTGCTGCAGCCTTGTCTCCCTTTGTCTCCCCTTGTCTCCCTTCAGGCTGGGTTCGGCTCCCCTTGTCTCCCCTTGTCTCCCGTCATGTCCTTCGCTCCCTTCATATCTGCTCCAAACTCTCTCCCTTTCTCTCCCCTTGTCTCCCTTCCTCTCTGCTCCAGACTCTGTGCTTCAGTGGGTTCAGTTCGTGCTGCATGCTGGGTTCGCCCGGTCTCCCTTTGTCTCGCCTTGTCTCCCTGCATCTCTGCACCAAACTCTGTGCTTCAGGCTGGGTCCGCCTTGTCATATCTGCTCCAAACTCTGTTCATATCAGCTCCAATCCCCGCGCTTCAGTCTCCCTTTGTCTTCCCTTGTCTCCCTTCATATCTTCTTGAAACTCTGTGCAAAATTTGTCTCCCCTTGTCTCCCTTCACATGCGCCCAAGCTCGCTTCGGTGCAGCCTTGTCTCCCTTTCAGTTCGGTGGAACGGGTTTGGTTGGACGTGTTTTTGCCGCCTTGTTTTCCTTTGTCTCCCCTTGTCTCTCTTCACATTTGCTTCAAACTCTGTGCTTCAGGCTGGTGCCTTGTCTCCCTTTGTCTCCCCTTGTCTAATATTCAGTTGTCTCCCGGCGCTGCCAGATCGCCGGCCGCGTGCTCGCCAGTGTGCGCATTTACTTGCATCCCAGCATGTGCCTTCATTTACTTCATTTCTCCCCCGGTGCTGCCAGATCGCCGGGCCGCATGCTCGCCAGTGTGCGCCCAGCACCAGTGCTGTGAGCATTTCCTAGTCTCCCACGGGGCTGCCGCCAGCGTGCACACTTAATTGTTTCCCAGCCTGCGCCTGTATTTACTTCTCGGTGCTGCCAGATCGCCGGGCCGCATGCTTGCCAGTCTCCCTACTAGTATGTCGCCAGCGCTGCCAGATTGCCGGGCCATCCTGCCAGACCGGCGGGCCGCATTTATTTCAATGCGCCAACCGCGGCCTGTTCCCCCACCCGACTTGTCGCCTGGAGGGCGTAGCCCGCCCGGCTTTCTGCGCGGGGCGCTGCAGAATGCGATGACCGCCTTGCCGCGCTGGCCCTCGAGGTCGGTGGAGACGGACTACTTTCTGTCGCGCTTGGCGCGCGGCACGGCTTTGGCCAGCCCCGCGCGGCCGTCGCAGCGGCTTTGCCTGCTGGTTGGGCCAGCTTCTCTTTGTCGCGGGCGGCGCAGGAAGCGTTCGCGGCCGGCCTGAACGACCTGCCCGCCAACGCGCGCGGCCTGGTGAAGTGTCACCCCCGCCGCACGGAAAGCGCACAAAAAGTGTCTGTGGTCGGCGCGCAAGTGTGTTGACTGTTGGCGCACACGTGTTGTCCTTGTTGGCACACAAGTGTTTTCACTGTTGGCGTACGCAAGTGTTGTTTGTGGGCGCGCCAGCGTGATCACTGTTGGCGCAAGAGTGTTCTTCATTGGCGCACAAGCGTGCTCACTGTCGGCGCCTAAAAGTGTCCGTCGTCGGCGCGTAAATTTGCTCACTGTGGGCGCAGACAAGTGTGCCTCGTTGGTGCACATATGTGTTCACTGCCTGGTTGCCCAAGAGAACAGATAAGACAGTTTCCTGTCTATTAGTTTGTTCGGTGCTTTGTGCTTAAAAGTTGTCTTTTAGATAAGCGCGCGTTCGCCGAGCGACCGTGAATGATCTTTTGACTTTTGAAGGAGCAAACGGGCCTCATTCGGCGCGCAAGGCAAAACTCTTGCAGGAAGGTAACTTTGCGGCAGCTGAAAGGAAACTTCTAGCAACTTTCCTTCAAAGCGCTTCTCGCAATCCTGGAAACTTCCAACAAACTGCCGGCAGTTTCGTGCGACAACTTTGCCGTTTTCGCTCCGGTTGTTCACGAGCCGCTGCAGGAACGGTCACCTTTTAATGACCAGCGCAGGTCGGTTTGCAGAGAAGTCCGGTGGAAGGTTTAAAGAAGTTTGGTGGGAGTTTCGTACAAGTTTGGTGCGGCAAAAGGTGTATCAATATTGAAAATGATAGGAATTAAAAGCAGTAGCGCTGCGCTGTCTATTAGTCAACTTCCTGATCAACTTACATTAGTGTACGTAGGCAGGTTCTGTTTTCCCATATTTGAGAAAAGAATAGAATTCTCGGAATTCGGCCTGCGCAACTCTTCTGTCTCTCCAGGCCTATTGGGCGGCGCATAAGCGTGTTCAGCGTCGGCGCATAAAGCGTCATTTGTCGGCGCAGAGGGAGTTTGCCTCGTTGGCGCTGGAGCGTGTTGTCCGTCGGCGCATAATAGTGTTCCCTGTTGGCGCGCAAGAGTGCTCCTCGTTGGCGCAGAAGTGCGCTCACTGTCGGCACACAAGGGGTTTACCTGTCGGCGCACAAGAGTATACGTGGTCGGCGCACAACTGTGTTTACTGTCGGCGCACAAGGGTGTTTCTTGTTGGCGCACAAGTACGCCCACCGTCGGCGCACACAAGTGTTCCTCGTTGGCGCACAAGAGTGCTGCTTGCCGGCGTTTGCCGTCGGCGCAAAACAGTAACCGTTGTTGGCGCGCACAAGTGTGTTCACGGAGGGCACACGCAAGTGTTCCGTCTTGGCGTCCGAGCTTCTTCACCGCCGGCGCGCAAGAGTGTTGCTCGTGGGCGCATAAGTGTGTTCAGCATTGTTCCCTGTTCCTACACCAAGGTTTTATGTTGGACGCGCGTTCCTGGCTGGCGCAGCAGCGGGTCCATCGTCGGCGCGTTGGTGCAGAAGGGCTTTATCTTCGGCGAACAAGAGTGTCCTCTGTTGCCTTGTCGGCCCACAATCGTGTCCGGTCGGCGCGCACACGTGTTCATTGTTGGTGCACTAAGCGTGTTCGCCGTTGGCGCAGAAGAGTATTCTTTATGCCTATGTCGGCGCACAAGAGTGTTCCTCGTCGGCGCACAAGTGTGTTCCATGTTGGCGCGTAAGGGTGTTGCCTGTCGGCGCAAAAGGCTGCTCCCTGTCGGCGCATTCCTCGTTGGCGCATAAGCATGTTCACCGACGGCAGGCAATAGTGTTCTCTACTGCGCGCGAGAGTGTTCCTTGCCGGCGCATGAGCGTGCCCACTATCGGCGCACAAAAGTGTTCGCTGTTGGCGCGTCCGCTGTCGGTGCACAAGTGTGTTCACTGTGGGCGCACGCAGGTGTGACTTGTTGGCACACACAAGCGTGAGTGTTCCTTGTTGGCGCATTGTTGGCAAACACGCGTGCGCGCCGTCGGCGCACAAGAGTGTTCCTCGTCGGCGCGTGAGCGTGTTCAGATTCGTCGTGTAAAAATGTTCGTCGCCGGCGCGCAACAGTGCTCTCAGGTGGCGCACAATCGTGTTTGCCGTCGGCGCATAATACTCTTCCCTTTTGGCGCACCCCCTGTCGGCGCACAAGAGTGTTCCTCGATGGTGTAGAAGCGTAGTCGTCGTCAGTGCATGATAGTGTTAGGGGTCTCTATCGTCGGCAGATATCTGTGTCGTCGGTTGCCTTGTTGGCGCATTATCGCAAACAGGTATTCATTGGTGGCGCACAAGCGTGTTCCCCGTCGGCGCAACAGGAGTGTTCCTCGTTGGCGCATAGGCGAGCCAGCGTTTGGAAGCTCAGAGGTTGCCTTCGAAAAAAGGGGCAAAGGAGAAAAGGATAGCGCTCAGAAAAACCTGCAAGGTATACACGGATCCCCTGGCCCATCACGCAACAATGATTCCGTTTAATCTGTGGCTCGCAAGGCCAAGTTCGCGGCAGCAAGGCCACGCCAGTCCGGCGCCCCAATGTCTTTCTCAAACGACAACACGCCCCGACCCTTGCGTGAACTCTCTCACTCAGCGCTGGATGTCCTGGGCACGCGCCACGGCCAGTATTCCACACAAGCCTGGGGTGGGCCCAACATCAAGCCAAGCCTGGGTGATGGATTCCGGTGTTGCCTTGAAATCCAACCGAAAACTCCCAAACCCAAGGCAGCGCGTACGCGCACAGGTCACTCCCTCAAGTTGGAGACCCTGTGCGAATCCAGCTTCCAGGCAGTGCGAAAAAAGACAACGCGTTGCGTTGAGCCTCGGGACCGCGCAGGGCCACTGGTCCAGAACTGCGTGACGTGGACGCGCGCCGTACGCGGCAACTCAAAGTCTATTTCCTGCAGCACTGTGCTACTGAAGACTGGCTTCGCGTAAACTGTGCACAAACCCAAACATCTGGCAAAGGGAAACAACTTTCTGGGTAACAAGCCTCTGGCCGGACACAGCCCTACCAATTTGCGGCCGGCACTTCGAACTTTTTTTGTGAGCGCAAGCCCTGAACAGACACCCTTTGTGATTTTTGGAAATCCTGCCAGTGTAGCCCGGACAGCTTGGGAGAGGTCGCGCAACCCGGCCCCCTAAATCCGGCGTCGCCGCGCTAGCCCAAAGAGGGGCACGCCTACGGCGTTGCAGCGCTTTTGGGGCATCATCACCGCCCGCGAGGCTATTGATGCTCGAGCTGGCGGGATGTGCAGCAAACCGGCAGTTTTGCCAGCGTCTCCATCATCCACGCCATCCATTGCACCCGGCGAATGCGCGAGGCGCCCGCGGGGCGCGAAAAAATACTTCCACCACGCATCGTCTCCGTGCAAGGCGCCGCGCCTGCCACAAAATTCCGCCTGCCCTCCAAGCACAACCCAAAGCACAGCTCCCGCCGCGCAACTAAGCAAGGCCTCCAGAATTGATGCGCGCGCGCGAGACCAAAGCTGACAATTTCCCTGCGCTGGTATTCTGCGGGGTGTCGTGTAGTTCACTGAGGTTGCCTGTTCTTTCTTAGTGCAAATTGCAAAGGAAAATTGATGCAGGCCTGCGTGATCCTATGTCACTGTCTCAAGTATGCAAGCAATACATTTTCTTGACCGTTCAGCGCCTGTGGTTAGTCAGGTGTTCAGAGTTCAGCGGACTGCCTTGTCAAGGAGAAGCTGAAGAAGCGCCACATCATTTTTGGCAGCCTTGGGTTCTTGCACACAGGGAACCATTCATCCCTCACTTGGCACAGTATCCCCGTTAGGGGAAGGGGTCTAGGAGATGTAATTTGCATTTTCTGGGGTTTGAAAATGTAAGATTACATTTTGGGCCGCGCATAACCCAGTTCCAATTTCATAGGCTTAGGGACATCCTTGAACACGTCAACCACTTTCTTGTTGGGGGGATGAGAAAGGAAAGCTTCTACGCGCCCAGGTGTCAAGGTACCCCGACAAAGACTGTGGGACAACGGTGTTCAGAGGATTCTTGGCATCGATGTCGCAAAGTCTACGAGCTGCCTCCAAGACCTCTTCCAGGCAAAAGATAACCGTCATTATTCAAATGTTACAGGTTACGTTGACCAACAAGAGTCAAACAGATTGTGGGCTTGCTTGCCTTTTCAAATTTTGACTGCCAACAGTTCCTACCGTCCCAGGTCACCAATGCCGCTGTTCCTACCACCGTCTCAGCATTAATGACTTCTGGGCGTCAGCCTCTTTCTGGATCATCAGAAACATTTGCGCACCAAAACCCACAAAAGGCCGGTGGAATAACGACCCTTCCCCCAACTCCTTGTCAGAAGGGTTGAACCTTGCCAGGGGCCACAGATTACTGGTAGCGCAAAGAGGGCTCTAAATGAGGGTAAGAGAAGCAACTTATTCGACTTGCGCCCTCCATAGGTCACCAAACACTTGCAGACATTTAATTCCAAAAGCAAGATGCATGAAAACACTGTTTTGAAAGGAAAACAGGTCTTTATGGAAAAATCGGATTGCAGCGCTGGCCACACTCCCAATAGCAACCTAGCAGCCTAATGACACTGCGGCCAATGTAGTGGTGCACGAAAGCCACGCTCGACACACACAGATTCTATCCTGTTGCACTCTAAACAATTACCCTAGAGAGGCAGGCCATGAGAGTACTACATTCAACCGGGGCCACGAGCAACATGCGTAGAATCTGTTTATTCCTTTTTTGCCACATGTGCTCCTTCATTTCAGGAGGAGCGCGGCGGCAATCAACGTTACCCCAGCTAGCACTGCCTTTAGCAACCGCATCAAACCCTGCATGATCAATAGCGCAGGAGGCTGGCCACTATGGTGCTATTCACGCACACGCACAAACAGCAAAGACTAGCCAAGCGCACAAGCTGTTCACACGCATAGCTCAGTGCGTGCAAAAATGCTTCTTTCTATGAGTTCAAATCAAAGCAACCGAAGTACATGCAACTTCGAGGAAGCTGTGTAAGCAAACAAGACAACCTTGAAGTTTGCTTGACAAGGGCCGGGGACTTGTAGGGGAAGTTTTCGCAATGTAAGGGGGAA